CTCCCCTTTTAGAAAGATCTTGTACGGAGTATAACCTAAAAACCCTCGACACAATTTGTTTAAACTGCACGCAGTGATAACGGACAATGGAGCGGTGAGCAGTTCCAAAGAACCTGTACTCTGGCTTGTCACGTTATTTAATTTTCTTCCATTTTAGAAAAATCTTGTTCAGAGAATAACCTGAAAGCTAATTGCAGATAATTTGTTTAATCTGCACACAAAAGTAGAGGGCATTAAGGCGAAGTGCAGTGCCAAAGAACCATAACTCTGCTTAGCCCCGTTTTTATAATTATCTCCCATTTTAGAAACGTTTTGTCAGGATCATAACCTGAAAACCCTTGTTTCACTTCGAACTTTGTCCAGGACATGGCTCTGACACCATGAGACGTATGAACAAAACAACGTGTTTCGTAGATGTATTTTATTAAACAGAAGTGCAGTGCAAACGAATCGTAACTCTGCCTTGCAAAATTTTGGACTTATTGCCCTTTTTAATTGTTACGCTTTGAAATTTTGTCCGGGACATAACACTAATACTGTAAAAGATATCAACATAAAAATGTGTAGGTAGATAAATCCTACCAAAGATAGGAACATGATATTTTTTTGTTCAGGAATTTTATTGTGTAAACATACACTATTCATGTTTGAATACAGAGACATTCATTGCAATAATTCTTCCTACTATCGACCAAAGGTTTATCGAAAAAAAAAGTAATTCAAATATGTCATTAGATATGCATATATATCTTTTCAAAACGGAACAAATTAACGCTTTAATGTTTTCTTTAATTAAATCATTTGTTGAAGGACTATAAAAAGTGAATTATTTTAACACTTATACTATATTTAGATAATTCTAAGAAGCTTTGTCATGAATAAAAAAATATCGACAAAAGTTTCGGGAAAATATAAAAAGTTAATAAAACAAATATTTCATATCTAAATTATCATTTTTTAACAAATGAGATAGTCTGCATTGTATTACTTCAGGAACTGTAAACAATAAATCCAATATTGTAAATATTATTACTAGCTAGAAATCTTCTAAACTATTTAATCTCATATAGAAATTCCAAAAATAAGCTTAAAGTATAAAATGAACTTTATTCAAAGCCGCTTTATGTACTAGCATATCTAACAATGACGTTCAGCAGATATTCGCAATACGCAATATAATGTAATAAAGATCATTAAAACAATAACCCATTTATAACAGTATAATGTAAAACTATTGTTTTATATTTCAAAAATAATTATGAATAGATTAAACCAATATCCTGCATAAACAACACAATATTCATAAAGCTGATATTTGTTACAAAAACAAAACTTTAAAGAAGTTTTCCATAAAGACATTATTTTGCAAACATCATTTAAAAAGTGTAACTAATATTCTAAAAAATATTATTTGTAATGCCAAAGAAAAGACTTAAAGCACTTCCGTTTGAACAAACGACACATTTTCCTTTTTCGATTTTTGTCAAACACAATGTTTTTTTTTCTGTTTGGAATTCATTTGCTTGATCAGTAAAATTATTATTTTCTTCATTTACCCGCCGTCTTTGTGAAACTAAAGATAGATATGGACTGTGTTGTAGTACTTATTCTTTTACGTTTTTCATTTCTATATATACAAACATTTATTTCTTTTTACCAATTTCTCTATTGTATAATTGTTATTTAGAAACAATGTCAATAGTTTTTTAAAAATATTTTTACTGAATAGTTATCTTCTATTCTTCTCTCTTCTGTTCTTTAGGAACATTTTGCCAACCAACGGGAAACATTTCGTTTGGTGCAGGCACAAGGTATTTGCCACGTCCTTTATAAATGAATACGTGTATATCAGAATATCTATAAAATTAGTATATGAAAAGCTGTTTCTATGGTGTGATTTATTGGGAGAAAAAATATTTAAACAATGTTTTTTTTCTGTCTAGCTACTTAGTTATTAGTTTACCCTAAATTGATGAAATCAAGTATGAAAATGAGCATTGAAAATACTTGCTATAAGATACAAATCTTAAAATTTAAAAGTATGCCTTTAATGTACTCGTCTATTTTTAAGTGATGTTCAAAACGCGGTTAATCTAAATATGGTTTACCATCAATAGTGTTTACGTTCATCTGTCTAATTTTAGACAAACAGCTTTATATAATGCGGATGTTTCAACTTAATTTTCTTTACTAAATATATATTTGTAACATTGAATAAAAATAGAAAAAAATAATGTAGTGCATTTAAACGTGTTGACATTACAGTGTCTACACAATTATTAAGCAAACATGTGCATTGCTTGATCAGTATATGCAAACGGCAAATTGTTGTTCCTGCAATCAGACAAACTTGAATATCTAAACAAACGTTTTGTGTTTAATATTTTGAGTGTTGTTATAAAGTTTTTTTAATCCATCGACTGAATATTTTAAATTTAATTTATTTCAATCATTGACAGTTTCATTCATTCTGTTGTGTGTAACAAAAACCTAATAAGTAAATTTGTCATTCATATAATATTTTAATTGGTATTCATCATCTACACCTACACCCCCAAAAAACTGTCACCCACAGTAACGAACAACTTGGACTTTTTACATCACGTTATCATCAAGATGAAGAATCCGGTTCAGCCCTATTTGCATAAACAATTCATGGTAAACACTGGATTTTGATTTTCACATAAATACGTCATATAGATGTAACAACCCTTGAGCTTAACTCAGACTTAAAACATTTAGGAAAATGATGCAAAAATCAATCTTTCATCAAATAACATAATAGAATATATTAATTTGATAATTGAGGCTCTTGCGCAAATCAAGGTCGATGATACAACTGTGTAATACCGTACCTTCTATCGTTTATCCTTTTTTCTTGGTGAATTTCATAAAGATCATTAAAATAAATTACCGATGTAGCCTCATGCATACAAGTATTAATAGTCTCTACTGAAACTACTGAAATTATTTATCAAAGAAATCTCATTTTAGTATTATTATCATATTGCATTCGTCAATTAAGAATTGCAATCAAAACTACATATCTATAAAACAAATTGGAAACATATAACCATTTAAATCAAAAGTACGTCATGGACTTTTTTAAAATTGATAACCTTATATGTCAATGTCAAAGTGCTAAAATTAGATAAATAAAATATTATCAATTCTTTGTTTACATTACATGTTTGTAACCGGATTAATTCTCCTTTTAAACATTCAAATTTTAATGCAGTTCATTGAATAAATTATTTAAGTTAAATGAAAATATGAATACTAAAAGTCTGTCGAATATAATTAGGAAACCATTGTTCAATTACAATAATTCATAGCAACTAATACGAAGGAATTACATATGAAATGATGTTTATAAGTGAGAGTTATATGATTCGAGATGACACATCTATATAAAGCAGATAATAAATTGTTCTAGAACACCATATAACTACCAAACGTATAAATAAACGTTTTGTTTTGTTTTTATTAGTACTTCGAAATAATTTTGAAAAAGAAAACGCCCAATGTAGACCAATTCACTTTAACACAAAAAAGTGCATATAACTTTGCATATGTACCTTTACTAAGGACGTTTACGTAGAATGAAAACGAAAACCATAATCTAACCGGAAAATAAAACTACAAAAGGGCTTGGCCGCACACCATATGTAAACAGTGCATACACTTAACATAAGCAGGTTCCTCATAAGGCATCTAATAATCTAAGACCGCAAACTTTGAAGTTAAAAACAAGTAAGGAACTTTAATATGTTAGCGAACTAAACTTTTAAGCACTATAAATATTCTTCAATTTTGTTCTATTTGATACTTACTGTAGGTTTCTTTGCTTTCAATACGACGACTGTTTACTAAACTTATTTTATTGAACTTGTTTTATTAAACTTGTTTTAATCAGTGTCAATCAAATGTGACGTTTACAAATATTATTTTTGCACAATATTTAACATATTAATAGACGCTGTGCCTGCATGTATTACAAAATTAAGGCATTTACTATCAATTTGAATATGAATTTACATTTCGGATTTTGAAGTTTGTGTTTGTTTCTTTTACCACTTTTTTACAGTCTGTTCCTATTTCATCTATATGTCAACGGTGTATTGAAATAATAAACCACTAGCAACGGTAGCAGCAGTAATTTCAATCTTGATCCCGACTTTTGGTGCGCTAAGAATACTGCACAACGGTAAGAAAAACAAACATACCTCACAATAACTGATATTTATTTACGTGTTCAAATCTAATGCCAGTTATATCAACCTGTACATTATTCATTGCCACGACTTCACCTGTAGTCTGAATATTTGATCATGACATGAAAATGATAAATTTAGTGTTCTTTACCGTTTAATAGTTTTTGGTGTATCTTGGACATCCTTAGAAATAACTTTGCATTTCTGTGAGGTATTTTTTTTTAAAGAAAGAAACCTCAATATTTGTGATAATTTTCTGGTTAGTAACATGTTGTTAAGTATGCACATTAAATGTAAGATAGTAACTATCATCAGTTATTGCATGGTTTGGAACTTTTTCTTTGTTCTTACTAACCCATTATTTTCAATACACTTTCAATAAGAATTAAATTTTGAAAACAGTATTGATATATAACAGCACAATGTGTTTTCATTGATTCATACTGGAAAAAACTCAACTTATATATAACAGTTGAGATATTTTGCATCTCTCATATTATCAGTGTAGTTTTTTTACAGAGGTTGAATTTTGCTGATTTGTGTTACAAAATAAGTTATAGTATATAAAAGGAATTAGTTACAGGGGTATAGCACTGGCTGGGGCTATTACAAATAACGTAAAGCTTGTCACATGCATTCACATGCACTGTGTAATTGTTTGTAGAAGCATCATCCTTTTTGTTCCATAAAAAGGATTATGTCAACTGAACTTTTGTTCGGTGCGAAATTTTTGATTATCTTAAGAAAAACGATTAGATGCTACCTACACAGACATTGTTTAAAATACAAATTAAGGGACAAAAAAAAAACGTAAGTATGTAATGTATGATTTATTGTATGAGTAATAGAAAGGGAGTACATTTAAAGATCCATGTAGCTTTCTGGAGTCCTATATTACAGCATAAAAGGGGCAAGGTGTTTGTTATTTCCCTTTTGTATAAAATAATTGTACAGAGTTATTTCACTTAAATATTCTGTTGTACTTCCTCAGCATCATGTGTTCCCACGTTTCAACGTGTTGCGTGTGACGTTGTTGATTATGTAATCTTCGTCTTTGTGAATGAGTTAAAGGTCTGCGTCTGACGTCATTCAGAATAATTTGTTGACGTGATACTGGCGCAATTGGCTCATTGTGGCTAATGTCAACGTCAACTGCTTCTAGGATAAAATGAATGAAATAAAAAGTTAAATAAAATGGTTAAAAATGCGCATTGTTTTATCGGAAAACAGGACAATATTTAACAGTCTATGTTAATGAAAAGAGACGGACACGTAGGATACATGTTATCAGAATTTTACTCAATCAAACAATTCTGGTTACATGAATAATTTTCGTCTCTTATCCCGTTATTCTGAAAATGCAATTTTTTTATAGGTATAGGAACCTGCTTTTGTTGTTTGTCAATAACGTTACATCACGATAAATACAATCAGGTAGCTTTGTAGAAGCTTTCGTGTAAATCGAGCTTTTTGAGCAAGCGTAGTTATCCGGTGGTAAGAGGGATGATAGATAGATAGATACTTTGATTTCCTCCAAAGATGAAGAGCATAACAGTATTTACAGAGTAACAATAGATGTATAATACAATTTAAATGATTTAAATACTATGCGATAACATTACAAAAATAAATTATAACAGAAACAAAAATCATATATCGTGGGATCTATATATATATATATAATTAAATCTTTCATTCTATGGCAAAATTAATTCACACCTGTTTTTTTATTTATTGATCTTTTATCTAACAACAAAAATGTAGAAGCAAGACATGGCAACTAGAAGTGTATCTTTAAAATGATTGTAAGCATTTCTCATTTATGTAGCTTTAAAGAAATCGAAACTAAAGCTTTTTAAAGTTGGAAACACATTTTGTTGATTTCTTAAAAATAATGAAGGGGAATTGGCAAATAGTGCTAAATGTAAATGTCTTCTTAACAGAAGATATAGTTAATATAAAGCTGCTAAGAATTATTTAAATATTTTCTTCATTTATACAAAAAAGAAGAAAACTCATGAAAGGAAAACCCAATTTTTTACAGTTTTGAATAGTGTAAAACTTTAATAATAAATAATTCATGAGATATTCTACTTATTCATAGAAATATTTATATTCTAGCTTCCTAGCACTCGAAGATTATATCTATCATAATTTGTTTCTTACATTATTACAGATAAGACATGCCTATCTGAAAACATTTCTCATTGGTACAAATACAATACATACACAATTTAACGTAAAAAATGTATTACGGTGCATGTCAATACATCATTTAATCTAGTAAACGTAATAGTGATTGTAAGTTAATGAGAAGTTTATGAAAATGCGTTCGTCATTTTTCACGGCGAATCCCATTACAGTTTTACATTGTTCAAAAGGACAATCTGTTATTAGCTCACGGAATCAAGTAAATCCCAGAAAATCTATGATCATTTTCCACAAATTCTCACGTTGATACAAAAACAGATCTGGTGTAGGATAAATTTTTGAACTGTAATTACTACACTTGCCTTTCACTTTCTTATAATTACCCATCACTGACGTCTACCCCATAAAACCGTTTTTGTTATTCTTACCCTAAATCGTTATAGATGCATTTATTATATTAAAATATCCTCTAACCACTGAAGATCAGACTAAGTGACTTACCGTGCTGAGAAAGTCCGCTGTCATGACCGTACACTTCTGAAGAAACTGCAAACCTCTCCGCGCATACGCAAGCTATTGGCCAATTAGTAAGCCATCTCTGTTCGCCATCCCCAATGTTTGTAACAAGGATATCTATATAAACAAACATAACAAATGATTACAAAAAAGAAAAGAAAAGAAAAACACACACACAAATAAACAATCAATAACGGAAAAAACAGGTAGCACAAAAACGGGGGGAAACAGGCAGCTCTTTTATATGTTGTCGTTCATGTTGATTTAAGTGCAAATGTATATTATATAAGCAATTAAGAAAATCTCTTGAAAAATAAAAGTTGTGTATATACTAGAAAACATATTCTATTTGATGTTTGTCAAAAATAAATTGTATAAATTATGATGAATGTTTAATATGTTTAAGTGTACGGGATTCATCTTACTCCGTTCAATTCGATAGTAAAATAGGTCCTTGCTATATTATGCATTTTACATTGTTTAAAACTGCATGGAAAAGTGTGGCTCTTGTTTTATGCATTGGAAAACATAGCAAAATACAACTTTACAGTTTCAGTTTCAGTTTATTTCTAGTAATATAGGCCTCAGGCCATAAATACAAAGTACAACAATACATCAAACAGTAGAGTGATAAATTGCAAATACATTTGTTACTAGATGTAATGAATTGAATTTGTAAATAATTATACAGTATTTATCTCTTCCTTTCTTACATTCATTGCATAATATATATATATTTAGCAATAGATATTACTTCATTTATTATTGTTGATGACATGAGAGAATAAAATAAATGGTGGGAATGATGATGTAACCATGTATCTTTAAAATAGACAGCTCTGATATTGTTATATAGTGAACATTCAAAGAAAAAATGATATTCATCCTCAATAACATAAATATTTGTCTTTAGGCAATGAAAGCAATATCTTAAATCTCTATCTATTCCAATATGTCTACCTTTCTCTATCATAAGATTATGACATGAACAGCGAAAATTAGAAAAAGCTCTTCTATACTTATATGCTAAATCTAAACTTAAATATCGTTCAACATTAAGTAAAGTCTTAAAGTACTTGTAATGTAATGCTTTAGGAGAAGAATCAACAGCATTATACCAGTTTTGTGAATAACAATCAAATAAGCGTTGCTCAAACATATTAATGAAATTTAGGTCATCACCGACATCATGAGAGAGCCATACGTATCCAAAACCAAATTGAAAAAGCATATCTTTAATGTTGCCAGCCCATGTTTTCCGTCAAGATTCGTGTAGTCGTTTTAACATCAAATAACAATGTTTTGGGTACCTATGATCTCCCATACATGTCAGTTTTAACCAGTATTTAACACAATTTGTCATATAGATAGTACAGAGAGGTAATCCACATTCACCAAGGGCAAAATAGCTTGTTGTATTTTGTGACAAGTTACAATATTGTTTACAGAATTTAACTTGTACAGATTCAATCTTATCAACATAATTATAACCCCAGATTTCTGACGCATAACACAATATAGGTTTTACCATTGAATCAAAAATTTTGAACATATCAATAGGATCAATGTGACCAAATTGTCTTTGAAAATTGAATATACAAGCAGAAGCTTTAAGTCCTTGTAGTGCAAGCATCTCTTTTGTTTTTGACCATACTAACTTTGGTGTGAAAAATACACCTTAATATTTGTAAAATGGAACAACTTCAATAGGTTCATTATTAAACAACCATTTTTCAGTTTGTTTCAAAACACCGCCATTTCTAAAAACAATGATTTTCGTTTTGCTTAAGTTTATCTTCATCTTAACAGATTTACAATAATCTTCAATATAATTTATCTGCTGCTGTAGATTTATAACGGTGTCAGAAAAGCTAGACACATCATCAGCAAACATAAGAGCAATTAACTCTTCAATGTTATTGGATACAAAAATACCTCTATTACATTTTTCATGCAAAAAAGTAACTAGATCATTTATGAAAAGTGAAAAAATTATCGGACTTCCAACACAGCCCTGCCTTGTTCCAGTATTACATGAGAAGAAGCTTGTTAGTTTGTCATCAACTTTAACACATGATTTAAGTTTTGCATACATAGATTTTATTATTTTTAAAAATTTTCCATTGATCTTATTTCTAGAAAAAGCGTCCCATAATTTTTGATGCTGAATACTGTCAAAAGCTTTTGCAAAATCTATGTATATACAATAAAATCTACCCCGTTTCGTCAGGTACTTCTGGATCAAAGACATTAGAGTAAAAATATTATCAATTGTTGAATAGCCTTTCCTAAATCCAGCTTGAGACTCATCAATTACATTATAGTTAGCACACCATTTAGTAAGACGAATAGTTAATATATTAACAAATATTTTACATAGGGAATCTATTAAAGAAATACCTCGATAATTATTTGGATCTGATTTAGAACCTTTCTTATGTATTGGAGTGATAATACTTTGACTCCATTCTTCTGGGAAGTTTCCGTTTTCAAAAATTTCATTAAAAAGAGCATTCAAAAATGGTAAAATTATATGAATAGAATGTTTGTACATTTCTAAGCAGACACCATCAGGTCCAGACGACCGGTTAGCACGTAAATGGTCTATACTTTGCATTATTTCTAGATCAGATATAGGAACGTTAATTTCGTCACAATTTAAGTAATCACGATTCACATTGACCACGGGCTGCTCATCGATAGAACTATTTTCCCCAGTTACAGGATTCAAGAGTAATTTAAAATAATCATACCATTCATTACATGTTATTAAAGAATCTGCATTTTCTTTACTATTACCTTTTTAAGAATATTCCAGAATTGTTTTGCATTTTTCCTGGTATCAACCAACAGCTTCCGTTTAGCTTTGCAGTGAAAATACTGTTTATTTTTACATAGTGCTTTAAATTTGTTTTTGGACGTTTTATATTTTATTAAATCATCTCTTTCATTTGAAACCCGGAACTGTCTAAGAAAACGGGTTTTATCTCTTTTTAGAATTTGACATTGGTTATCCCACCATAATGGTTGAGATGATACGTTTTTGTGATGTTTACATTTCATATCATCTGCAGAAACTTTTAAGATATATAAAAAGTCTGGAAGAAACGAGGACAAAATTCTATTCTGTGAATTAATACGTATTTCATCAAATTGTTGAAACTTAGGCGTAAGATAATTTATAAAATTTTCTTTGAATTCTGGTTTCCACTTATACTTCAGCCATGGTGACATATTCTCACCATTTTCAAAATTATACTGATTTTGACTACCTATAGAAGGGAATGAAAAATGGCAAATAATAGGAAAATGTACAGACTCGTCATTATTATCAACTTTAAAATATGTTACATATTTAAACAAACTAGTAGTAGCTGCCATATAATCTACAACACTGGCTCCATTATTTGCTAAACAAGTATAGTTACCAGGAATATCATCAAAAAATCTTCCATTAAAAACATGTATACCATAAGTACAACATAATTCAATAAGTGATAATCCAAAACGATTAAACTCTGTATCTTTAGATAATCTATGCATATTAAAATCATCTTCTGGGTATGGTACATCATCACCAAATATAAACAATAGATTATCATCTAACACAAAGTCATTGAAGTTTTTTATACGTGAATTTAAATCTCCCGCCAAAAATAATTCTGCATCGGGATATTTACCTTTAATCTGACTAATACTTGTATTCAAAATTTCAATACTATTATTATCTTCAATCGAATAAATAGACGAGTATTCTGGAGATACATATGTAAATATAAGAATAACATCATTCACATAAATCATAGATTCAGCACTAATTAATAGCACTACACATTCAGTAATATTATCAAATATACGTTTTATAGACCCACGTTTGATCAACCAGTCTTTAACAAAAACCGTCACTCCTCCGGAACCACGTGCAGCTGTATTCTTCTTTCTTCTACAAAAGTTAAAGTTTGTATATCCAGGTAAAAAGTTTTCGAATTCATCATTTGAAACACCCCAAGTTTCACAGAAACTTAATATATCAAAGCGTGAACAGTATGACTGAAAGCTAATATCATTATAATATTTTTTTAAACCTTCAATATTCCAGGAACACATCTTTAAATCAATATTAATAGAATAGTTATTTTCATTGCGGAAGTGATGCCCATTACAGATTATAAGGATGGATTATCATGTGCGTCAATTGACGTTATTTTGGTAATGCATAATTATATTTTAAAACAATTACAAAAAGGCCTAAGTAATATGACATCTATAATTTCTCACTTCGAAGGGATATACTTCACATATTTACCGAAATCAACAATATACTCTATTTTATTAAAGAACCAATGATAATTGTTTCGATGTTGATAAGGTGATGTAATTATAATTTATAATTACCCGTTTTAACAAGATCACACTGTGTACGAACTTGAAGAGAATACGTCGTGCGGAAATCTAAGCCACCAAAACCAAAGTTACATGTTGCACTGTCACATACTGCATACTTGATAAATCGCGGTATTCTCGTGCTTTCTTCATCATATTCCTCGTGCCAAGAACACAGAGAATCTTCACACTGACCTGCGCAATTCCTTTGCCGTGACTGCCGCTTCTTCCGATAGCTCTTTACCTTGTGAGAATTACGACGCGCGGCATTCAAATATTCAAAAAGTGACGTAAAGTTTTGTAAAACCGGATTTAATGTGTTATCCCGCTTGTCATTTCCATTTCTCAAACTATTATCATTATCAGTTGAATTCGCATGTTCAATGGTCTTTAAAAAGAAAGTTTTCGTCCAAGATTTCCCGCTCACATTGTCGAGAACACTAATTCCATATATCAGCAAGATGCATCTTAAACATGATATCATCCACATTTTTTTCGAATGATTTTATTACGTATTAATATTATTGTTACTCAATTCAAATGTACACTATTACTCTAGTGAACGCAAGCATTTATTTAAACACCGGAATATGTGTATACATTAACGCGACAGATTGATAAACACACGTTTATCTTCATAAAATGATTTGACGGGTTAAAAAGAATAAAGTTTATACCCGAAATTCAAACAAGGTAATCTAGTGTAATAAATCCCCAGTTTTCGATCTTTAAACAGGGCACGCCCCAGTTCTTCTCAAAAAGATTACTTGTAAGGTTATCAGGTATATCCTTTAAACGATGCATCAGCCGATATTTATTAATTAATCAGCTGTTAAGTCTACCTCTGTTCAGTAAGAATCGTAAGTCACTTTGTATTTAACACAATTAAAACAAAACTAAAAGAGAAAATGATCTGGTACAACAATCAAACCGATGTCTGCATTTCGTATTTTTGAAAGTGATTTATGTTACTTTATAATACATTAAAAATGGTTAACATGAGTTTTTGCAAGTGGACTGTAACTGTAAAGGACTTGTTTTTTATTTGTTGAATGGTTACTTACACATAAATATAATATTAAGTGAGCTCGTATTAAGAAAAAATAACCATTATATTTTCTTTAATATTGTGTATGTCTTACATTGTTTACCCTTAACACTAAACGTCTATATTTGAATCATGTTAAAGTCTTTGATGTATTTCCATGACTGCATAATACAATGTCAAATAATCTGTGACAGGTCCATAGCACTTAACCATCGCCACTTTGAATCCTGTCAGGATCTTTGATTCAGATAATTCCCGGAGAGAGATTCGCCATTACAGCTAGTCAGTCAATAATATGTTAAAGTTCATAGTCAGAGTGACTAGATCTTCCGTGATAGAAAAATCTGACACACATAATATTAAGTTAATTGATGTTTTTTGTATTTATCAGATTTTTCAAACAAAATGGCGAAAGAAGTCCCTTAAAATAAATATGAGTTTTGACTCCGCCCACTTTTATATTTATATTTCATATTTATTTAAAAAAAATAAGAATTACATTTGACTGGTATATCACCATATTTCATGGGTAAAATGAAATAAATATTGATATTAATATATATCTTCAGCAAAAAGCAATATCAGTCGTGGTATATTAGAATAACTGCCAGTGATAAAGTGCATTAGTATATTGTACCTTTAACTTGTCGGCATAACGGTATTATTATATAAGTTTTGATATTACATCAATGTATTTTAAAGTAGGTGCATGTACCGCGTGATAAAGCGAAATAACAATCAGTCCTTTTAATTAAAAGTTTTGTCCCACGCCACTTAAACTATAATAACTGATAGTTCGTTGAAAGACATTTTAAATCTTTGACGAATATTATTGTTTAACACCCTCGCACGTTGATTATTTGGTGGGAAAATGTCCTTAAAATCTTATAAAACAGCTTACAGTCTTCTTCTGAATCTTATTTTAGTTTCCGGTGACTATTATAAATAATTGTATGTTAAGGATAATACAAAAAAATGGTCAAACCGTATATCTATATTCTTTTTAAAATACATTTATCTTAAAATAATAGATGTGCAAACGTACAGACAATAATCATTTAAAACACATTCATTATTAATAAATAGGGCTAAAGTTAGTTATTCAAGATGAAGTGTTACTATATTATATTGCATTTGAAGGACATTTGAGGTCATTTGTGTATTGCTTAATAGCAGTTGCCTGAGTACCTGTTTTGCGAAATGGACTTGTTCAGAACGAAAGTCTTTGTATAACTAACTACCTCCCATTTGTCTGTAAGACACTCACGTGGACCTAATGTTTTTAACGTTCTGTTCAAATAAGATAATTATATATAGATAGTGCTCAAATTTGATATTTGAAAATACTAATGATTACAGTCTCTTTTTAAAATATAAAATAAACATTTTTGTACACACGCAAGAAAGAAATGAAACACTTTGAGATATATACGTTATAGTTAAAAACAGTATAAACACATTATGTCGTGTTTTAAGTGATATGGAATACAGCGTCCTAAAATAGTTTTTACATTCTCTTATTCAAATTGGATCTATTCAGTGCACAATCGTTACGGCTATATCCTGGAATAGACCCCGGGGTCTAAACCAGGGGTATATATAAGATTCATTCCGTTTTCTTTAGAAAATAATATAAAAAAAATTTTTCTGAAATATACGAAGAGGTCTAATCCCGAGGATTTTCATAGACTTAATTTATTTCGTCAATAAAAGTATTTTACTCAAAGATGAGCATAATATATATCCTTAAAACCTAACACATATTTGCAAATGAATTATGGCTTGGTTTTTGGAATGTTAAAATTGTAGCAAAAATTGTGAGGACTTTTGTGTCAAATATCTTACATAGGCATCCATCCATAACATGACAGATATCGTATGAATTGCACGAAAAATCAAGAGAGGCATCATGCAGTAATGCAGTGGCTTTAAAGTTAATACAGTTGCTATGTGACTAGTACTCCTATACACATGAAAACATTTTATGTCTTTATCTTATTAAATTATGGTGAATGTTGTATTGAACTTCTGTTTCATGATAAAGATAGGAAGGAAGGGAGGGAGATAGGCAATTTGTTGTAACAGATAGTTTATGTGGTGACCATGTCTCGTGTCTCATGCGTTATTTTGTGCAAACCAGGTCAACCCGTGACTATTTACTATTCTATAATCGCGGACAATTCCTGTATGGTCGACTCCATTCCCAATGTTTTTGACATCTTGGGCAATTACACGTTGAACTAGTGTTACAGATTTTCAAGTTTATTTTGGCCATCGTTTCCACATTAAGAGCCTAATCAGAACAAATTATTTCCGAAAATAAACATGAACACAGTAGGTCTAAATCTGTAATAAATTTCTTAAAATACAAATTAATAATCAATTGGTATTGTAAAATTCAAAGAAAAAAAAGACTAACAAAAAACCACGTACAATTACTTGTTTATTTATCGAACTCGGAGGCTATGACTAATTAAATCCATATAGGTGAAGATAGATATGTCTGTTTAACTTTTAATTCCACATATTTAAAAGAACAATGGGCTTTAAAAGAACAATGGAAGGGGAATTTTCCGCCCTATAAGAATTAAGGGAGGAGAATTGTCCGGGTTGTCAAAAATAAATAGGAGGGTATTTTCTGCCAGTCAAACAATCCGAATATTTTCGACGCAAAAATTGCATTTTCATATTGAGAAAACATGGACTGATAAAGACTTAAATGTCAGTCAACAAACAAAAATACCTGAAATATGTCGTCATAAAAAGTTTAATCTAATACCATACCGTCACATTAGATTACGTTAGATACACTATTTGTACTTGCTACTTAATAGTTAAGCTATTCTTAATTCGCATTTATGTAGAATATAAATAGCTCGTTTGCTGAACGTTGTTTTATTTACGTGACAAATTAATTAAATGTCTATCCAATGTGCCAATTTATATTGTAATACATTGTTGTTGATTTTATGTCCTATTTAGTGTTTGATAAAGATTTCCATGAAGCGGTCCTTAATGGTATAATATAATGATAGAAGCCGGATGTATCCGTGAATATATCTAAGGCGATTTTAATTTTCAATTCTTTATACTTGGAAAATATCCGGAAAGTAATCTTTTAACGTTTTGTGAAGATATTGACTTGTAAAGTCAAACAAAAGGCATAAAGGTCTACAAGCTTTTATACAATTTTCATCTTTCGGCTAATTCTTTAAATTAAAATATTTATTCGTGGAAATGCCGATTTAAAGTTATATCATCTTAAACTTTTGTTACTTACATATGGTCTTTTAAACAAAGGACAAAACTATTAACATTATGTCAAATTTCGTTTTTTAAATATAAGATGTTGTTATCTTACAATGGTGAGAACATTGCATACCGACTTTCTGCCATGTTAATTTGTATAACAATAATATACATATATAAATTGTCAGGTATTCTAATGATTCTGGAGCGTTATCCTTAATACTGTATGACGATACACAACCGTATCCCGTGCAACGACTAACTTAAATCGTTTCATTTGCATCCGTCGTTGTGTTTGCAAACAACATTTGCTATGTCAAGATATATTCTGTGCGATGGCTTTTTTTAATTTTTTATATTCAGGAAAAGATCAGGCTCAGACTCAAGGCAAACCTTTAGGTTTTACTTTCCAATTTACACCAGACATCAAAATATCCTGTGACGGAAAGGAGAAAACTGTCTCAAAGTCTTCAACTTCCTTTTGATCTTTTTCTGTCGTGTAAGCTTCTTATTCCGATTTTTCAATCGTCGCTGTTTACGCCGCTTTTTACGTTTATCTTTCGATGTCCTTTTCTTCTTTACACCTGGGCATCTTCTATGGCTTATTTTACCTTTGACAACAAAAATTATGTTACAATTAATAACATAAATGATGAGATACTACACAACTTTTTTTTATAAAAAACAGCTTCAATTTTAAAGACGTTGACAATGTCCTGTTTATGACAGAATGATTTTAGTCAAACACTACAAATTCACCGCAAAATTGTATAAAAATCGAACGTGTTTGTACTAGCAGTCAGGCTAACTCCACCCTGGTTTGATTACTGTGCACAAATAAATAAAAAAATAACTGTATAAATTAGACTTTACACTTATTTTGATTAAAATCTGCTAATATCTATCAATAAGATTATACCATATGATTTTGATCCTTTCTTGCATGGTTTTGAAATTACAGATCTCGGCTTGGTGGTACATAAACACGCAACTGGCCAATTCCTAAGGTAAGATTCCCTATTATATTTAAATATTCGAATATCTGAAAATAAAAACAACATAACAATATTTAAGTTTATCCTTCAGCATTCGCACCAAATTTGAATATAGGTATGTTTTCTTTTCTACATTTAATAAATGTTATTAAGCAAAAATAGTATGTGAAATGTGATTATTATAAATTATTACAATCTATTTCAAAATATTCATTAAACTAGAACATTTCGAGCATCGGTTTGGTTTTTTTTAACAAGGAGTCACTGCTTTGTTCGACTCTAGGGCAAGGCAAAATTCACCACAGACATTGGCCCTGATTCTTCCGCCACCGATTCTGAGATCATGTTGAATTAGAAGGACATTTGAAATTATTGGTTATTCGGTCATGAGAGATATGAATGCACATGTGTTAAATTCGGCGTTAAAACTAAAACTCACATTAGTGTACAGAACTGATAATGAAACATTATTCATTGAATGATTTAACTTCTGTACAAAAGCTTACCAACAATAATTTTATATATGATTTTCAACTTATGGAATGCTTATTCATGAACACTTGTGCCACGTCGGACGTACTTTATGCAATCGTTTAGATAGTTTTAAATCAACTGTTTACATAAATTGAATTTTTTTTTATTATTTATCAGTAGGCCAAGGTTATGTTCAATGTTAAAAAGCTTTTTCGAAAATTTACGAATTTTCATGGCAGTGTATTGTTTATATTGTGTAAATTTTGTTCTTTGTATAATTTATGATAATAGTCTAAGTATGATTTAATGAGGGACTTTATTGGATTATGTTCCCTTGATAAAAAGTCCGAGTAATCCAATAGCTTAGGACCTACTTATTTATAGGGAGTACTCAGGGAAGGTTATTCACTAAAGTCCCTCATTTAATATACGCCGATGAATATGGGGAAAGGGGGAATATTACATTGTTTCTATTGTTTCTGATATTAGGATTAGTTTATTTCGGGAACAAACGTTTGTGTTTAAAATGATGTTTAATATAAAGTATCGTCACCACATGTTTGAACTAGATTTGTCTTCCTTTTTACATACCTAAATTATACGAGGAAGGTAAATATTACAACTCTTACGTAAATGTAATGTCAGGTTTACAATATCAAACGTTTATTGCGTGTAGACAATTTAAAGGATGTTGTATACTATACCTCTTGTGAAAGGTTCGCACGAAGTTAACACATCCGATAAATAAGACAGCTGTGTGCTTGTGAAATTAAAATTACACTTGTTACCACATATAGCCTTTGCTATAAATACCGGAGTTCTTCTACTATCGTAGTTCCATTTTGTTTTCCAGGGACACAAGCAACGCTTCGATATATCCGTTATATCCGAATTATTTGACATGTCCGAAAAATGTGTAAATCGTTTCTTCCGTTTTATTGTGTCCTGAGTATCCGTTTTGATAATATTCGATGTTTGAACCACATAATCATTAAACGAAATAACACTATCAGAGTCATTTCCTATTCCTTTTTCAAAAACCAACTGTTCCTGGAGAATACTAGTATCTTTTAATATGTCCATATTCCCGACTAAATATCTTTTCATTACAAAAGTAAGATTTAAATTTGCATTTAAAGTGTTGATAATTTCTAATACCATGATTACTTTAATAACAGGTCGCACAATCATCGTAAATTGAAATGTGCATTTGAGCTTGATGTGAAAAAAGGATACTATATGACAGTCATTATCAATGGCACTTGAGATAAGGTTCGTGGTAGTCCCTGTGTATCCAAAGTACAGTGTAATTCAGTTTATCGGTAATGATTGATTTAGATAACATTTCGTATTTTAAATAATGCAACAATCATAGGGATTTGCAGTGTGTACTTTATTAGAAATATATTAAATTACGCAACGCATGGTTGCTTGAAAAGCAATGCCCTTAACTCGTATCACGTCCGAAATGAATTATTCACACGGGTCTATTTGCATATATATAAAAGATGACAAAATACAAAAACAAAACAATTTGCCATAAAAGGCAAGATATTATAACTTTATCTAATGAACATACTCTATATTGTACGGTATATAAATCAATTACCGGGCATATAAACAACGCTATGTCATACTCTGTCTCGAATGAAAAACATAAATGTTTACCTAAAAATATATATTATTTATATATGATTGTTAAGGCTTTTCTAGCAAAAATGGTAAATCTAATCATGACAGTCTTACGAAGCGTTGTTCCTCAATTCCATTTTCTATTCAGTCTTTTTTAATATATATTATCTTAAAGAAGTGCATAAATTTCGAAATGCAATTTTTATAGATCCTCTTATACCGATGCGACTAACTCACAAGTGATATGACTGAAGTGGTATAAAGATCTAAATCATTAATCTTGTTTGATGTGCACATTATTGAAAAGAAAATGCATAAAAGGACGGTCAAATGTATAAACGACAATAATTTGAACGTAAGCTTCAATGCTATCATATTGCTTCTTAATTATAATAAAACATGTCACATAGTGATTTATCATGCATTTACATCGTAAATCACTACGTAATATAAAATGAACCGTTAAGCCTTTTGATGTTCAATAAGTATCAACATTACGCAGCTTTGAAGTATTGCGAGATCATTATTTTCACAGAAATTAAATTATGATATTTATTTTGGCATTGGTGAGTTATAATCATAACAAAAAAATGAATCGAAAAACAAAATCAAATGTATCTTCTATCCCTTCATAAGTTTAAAAAACGTCAATAAATAAGATAATGACAATGTCACGGAGTTAAACTTTGTTAGACTTTGTTATACTTTTGAATAATACGTTTGAAGCAATCTAATAATTTCACATATCCTAAAGTGAAAAAACGGCAGGAACATATTAAGATAAGATATCAGCAATATATGTTAACCACACAGTTTTTATTATATCTTTTCGGAACTTCTTGGAACTGTGTTCTTCTTGGAAGAAGACACTATTTATGAATACTTTAGGGTGGCATAAGAATATCCTTTTACATCTTAGAAGTATTTTGTGAGTAAGGATATCCGGAGTTTAAAGAACTGCATCAAAGCTAGTTTCAGTGTGTCAAGTGCGGTGAAATATCCATCAGGAATGATACTTAAGTCTTTGATCAAGTTGCTCAATCTTTACGTGTAATTGATGGATATTTTACATCGCCATTCAATGATAGATCTTTTTTCTGTATTCATATAGAATGACTGACCAAGAGTTAATAAAAACGCTTTAAGAAATAATTATCAATAGTGAAATTTTTTTAGATTCTTTCATACCGATGCTTTTAATTAAGAAGTGATATAACTAAAGATCTAAATCCTTAATCTTGTTTGATGTGATGATTTACATTGATGACATTTTGCATTCTTGAAGAAGAAATTACATAAAAAGTTGGTCAAATGAATAAACGCCAGGCAACATAATCTGAAAGAAAGCTTCAACGCTATCATATTGCTTCTTAATTATAATAAAACAAGTCATATCGTGATTTACAATTCAATAACATTGCAATTACAAATAAAATGAAACAAGTTATTTGGTGTTTCAATAAGTATCAATATTACGAAGTTTTGAGAAATGGCAACATCATTGATTTGATATAATTATGATACGTCATTTGGCATTGGTGAGTTATTTTACTTCTATATCTATAAGAAAGAAAGTCGGATCCAAAACCAAAATCGGATGTAACTTTTATCCCTTCAATAAATTCAATAAGTATCAACATTACGCAGTTTTGAAATATGTCGTCATCATTGTTTTCATAGAAATTAAATTATGATATTTATTTTGGTATTGGTGAGTAATAATCAAAAGAAAATACTTGACTCGAAAAACAAAATCAAAAGTATCTTCTATCCCTTCAATAGTTTCAAAAACGTCAATAAATAAGATAATGATAATGTCATGGAGTAAGATTTTGTCTGACTTTAAAACTATACGTTATAAGCAGTCTAATTATTTAAAATATCCTAAACGGCAGGAACTTTAGATAAAATATCAGCAATATTCGATAATCACACTGTTTTTGTTATATTATCTTTTTAACGTCTTGGTACTTTGTTTTTCTTGGTAGACACAAATATTTAAGAATACTTGTGGCTTAAGAATAACCCTTACTTTTGATCCTATAACAACTAAGACTAAGACGTATTTTGTGAATAAGGATATGCGGAGTGTAAAGAATAGGACTGTGTTTCATAGAAAGTCCTGAGTGTATCCTAATCCTAGGACTTATGACATAAACAATTTTCTACATTCTGTAAGATACTGATGATCAAAGGCTGGGCATATTTTATTAGGTTACAGTGTTTTAAAAAAAAGCAGATTCAATGAATGTAATTTTGGTTTGCATTTTTGCTACCACATACTTGAAAATCATCAAATGCAGAAAAACTGCCTTGACGATTTAAACTGCACCATTAATAATCCATTTATCTCGTGATAACATTTTTACCACGACACAGTATGTGCATGGGGAAATATCCTTGACCCGTACAATTGAAAAAATAAAGACATTATAAATGATGCTTTAACAAGTTTTGCTATGAAAGTAAATCTACATTTTCCATAAATAAGGATGCACCGGTTAACAAGGAATCATGTGTGTTGTCCCCGTGAGATCATGCAATGTTCATAGAAAAAGATAAACAGAGTAAAGAACGTGTTATCTTGATAGACGGCATTAACAATACAATTAGAATAGTTTCGCTCATATAATGAATATCCAATGCAGAATTATTAACTCAAATTGCAGAAATCGAGTGTTATTGTTAATAAAAAATAAAAAGTACTATGTTTTCTCTCTATGTTTTAATAACCTTTTGATACAAATGATGCTACAAAATACAATAGTAATAATATGTAATTGTATTTGAGTATTGGACATCAAAATAAGTCAGTCACTTCAAATCTGAATCTTATAATCATAATTATTCATGATAAATCTTAACTTTAAACGTTAGTCAAAGGGAGCGGTGCAAATTAATACGAGTTCCGTGGTGTTCCGTGGTGAAAAGCGGGGACATATTTTGAGTAAATACTTTAATTTAAATGATGACATCTCTTAAAGGGAGAGACAGGCAAAATGAAACCTTTTCATTTTAGTTTTGAATTTCTCATTCATTATTCTGTAATTGTCCTAAAAATGAATACACTAGACAGTCAAAGGAACAAAACTTTTTTCCATATAAATAATAAAATGGTGGTTTCCTAACTTGACCCGCGTGGGTCAGGTTAGAGCGCTAAGATTTCACAATTATTGCCTAGTGAACTCTGGAAACGTTCAACAACATGTCAAATGAATGACTTAGACTTGTTTCACAATATCTGCAATATCTGTAATTGTAACTTCCAGGGTTTGTTCAAGTGTAAAGACTTGTTTTACAACTATTCGGTGATTCTGGTGGCGTCTAATCTTCGCCTAACATAGATATATTGAAACCCAAAATATATAGAATTTATACCGAATTTCATGCTGGGACTTTAAAAATGTCATTTAGCGTGATTTGAGTAAAAAAGATCATTTTAATATTTTTGTCATAATAGAATCCCTTTAATGTCGGAAGTTACATACGCAAAAAGTGAGTTACACGCGCTATTTATCATTGGGTTTATCAGGGATCTTAATTGTTAAACACGGCAACCTATGATAAATTTTATCAACATTGCAACTGCATAGTCCAATTAAATACAATTTAAAATATTACATCCAGGTGTAAGTAATGAATTATATTTAACATTATTATACCGATTTATACCGATTTATGTCCAAAAATCTATTTAATTATACGAGTATAAGTGTACACATGCACAGAAGAGGTGTATTATAAATGTTCATCCTTTCAAAATAAATACATATATTATGAAGGATTGATAACAATTAGATCAATCAAAAAAATCTATTAATAAATCACTTTTATGTCAACTATATAAACAGCAATTCAGAACTATTTTGCAATATCAAAAAGTCCAGGTTGTGGAATGGTATGGGGTAGCTATTTTTGAAATGAGATTGCAAGACTTACAACATATATAACTGTCTATATTATTCCCATACAGCAAACATGCTGGACCTTACATCTATGAATATAAGTATTTTACGTGAACTGCAATATATACTGGCTCGCTACTAGTCAAGTTGTATTGGCAAATAGCTGATAAGTCCCAACGCACTTCACTATGCATCACCCCGCGTTTACTATCTATCAAACCTTATCTGCAATATTCACTTCTTACAGTTATGAATTTGATGACAACTTGTTTGTAAGTGAGAATCTAATTTACAACGCCCTTTTTCTGGGACGGATGTTTATGTCAAGGACATCATCGCTTGTTGATAATGATTGATTTAATTCAAACAGTATGCGACGCTATATAAGATTAACTGAGTTTTACATATCAACTAGATCTTACAGGTTAAAAAGTTTACGTAAACAGGATACAACAGTAATCAAAAGATTTACGGGATTTAGATAACACTTTGACATTGCGTTTAATATCAAAGTTTGAAATGTTGTTTTTCGGAATAATCTCGTCTGTTACAAAATTAAAACAATAACTTGACAGGAGAGCAATTTAGAATTGTTGGTTATTTGATGTTATGCTTTATGAATAGAAAGGGTTAAATTGAGGAAGATTCCATTGCATGTAAGATTCTAAGACAAGTTTATTTCGGATGAAAATG